GCTTTTCTCAAAAACAGATGTAGAGAAGGCAGCTTGTGGCTGAATCATGACTAAACTATAGAGGAGGAGAAAGGAAGCCAGTAGAAAAGAATCAAAGTTGAACATGCACCTGGGGAGCATGCACTGCAGAAGCTGAGGTCATAAACTGGAGGAGTTAGTTGGCAAAACCATTTGCGAACACAACCAAAGAACTACTGTTCAGCTTCTTAAATGAAGATATGCATTTTTCTGGGGACGAGGAACTACTTGCCAAGGAGTATGTAAAACCCAGGACTGAATAAACATGGAACATCTTCCTGAAATGTGATTTTGCTCCAAGGTTTTTGGAGGGAAGGTTAAAGGATAGGGGAATAATTCTGTATTGACAAATAGCCATTTTATTGAGTAGAATGCAAAGTGTGCATGAATTATTTTAAAATCAGGATTAAAATGAGGCTGCTTCAGGTTATAATTTCAGAGTTATAAATTTGTTCTTCTCTGCCTGTAAAGATATTAGCAGAAAGGTTTGAAATGTATGTCATGAAGTGTTCCAAAGTGTGTTTCTGGACGAAGACACCTGTCACTCTCTAGGACATTAAGTTGAACCTGGAAAGCAAAAAGTTATAACTCCCCTGTCCATTCCAACCTATTGGTAGTGTTTTCTTGGAACACCTTTGTTGGGAAGGTTTCTGAATCCATGTGTCTTGCTCAGAGGTAGAGAGTGAGTGAGTAACAATGTCTGCTAGAGCAGGAGGAGATGGCACGTGGCAGTTTGCTGTAATGATTCATCAGAGATGAATATGGAAATCTACCAAATCTTTACTTATCACACACATTTTTCAGATTCCTTAATCTCTCAGTCAAGGGTTAGGGTATGCTAGAAGGTTGTGGTGCTTCCTACATCAATGAACCTAGAGAGACTGTATGTAGAAAAACTGCTTTTTGAATTTTTATTATTTCACTTTCGGGTTGGGCCTAAATATCTATTTTGTTTTAACAATAATTAAAACAAGAATTAGAGATATAAAGATTTAGTGTTTATCATCTACTTTATCAGAAACCACACATGCTAATATCATCTACTTTTAAGGCCATGTCTGCCCTTCTATTTCTGTCTTTGTGATTCAAGGGGTATCAAGTAATACGGTGAGCATGTCGAAGTTTACCATCAAGGAACCCTTCAAGATTTTCCACCAGTCATCTCACCTCATTCAGTCTTTTGTTGATCTCTGTAAGATACATGAGTGAAGATGACATTAAAAGGATACTGTGTTCTATGTGAAGAATTGTAAAATTTTACTCTATAGGGAATGGGAAAGTTTTTTTTTTAAAGAAAGCAGAAAAAGTTGTTAATCGAAAAATAAGTGGTAGAAATACAAAGGGACAAATGGAGTGAGTGAAGCTGGGGGCAAGAATGATGTTTAGGAAGAGTGGAACAGTCCAGAAAAGAGACAAAGAGGACCAGGCCTCGAGCAAAGAAAGTAAAGAGTTAGGGAGAAAATCAGGAGATATTTCCAAGGTAAACTCCTTAGATATTAGTAACTGACTAGGTGCAGGGAACAAAGGAAGTAAATGATAAATACAGCAGCCTTTAATCAAGTAGGTAAAGAATTAACTGTCTAATAAAGAAAGCAGGAAGGGGAGCAGTTGGAGGCAGGTATCAGTGATTATTCAGATCATTTGTTTGTTCTTAGATCTACCTTCTGTCCTTCCCTCAGGCTCTTCTGCGTCATGGAAAACTATGTTACCCAGACTCCCTTGCCCACTGGCTTCTGGGCAGCTTTGGGCAATGGCCAGCACTGGTGGAAGACTAGAGGATGGGCAATAGGGAGAAGCCAGGATATTGCTTCCTCTGTGAATTTGCCTTAAGCAACGTTTCTCACAGTGACCAGATCATCTCCAATATTTCAGCTCCTACCAAACAAGCTTTATGTCCTCGGTTCCAGCACCTTATGTGGTTATAGTTCTAGCCTCAGCTATCATTATAAGGATTCTTAGCTGGGCACTCTTGGATTCTGGAAACTCCACCTCTTCATGTTATCCCTCTTGCATTAGGGGTAAAATAATGCCTCCTGCTGTTGCTTATCTCTGGGTCATCTTGCCAACATATTTTGGCTTCGTGTCTCCTTTGTCACCTGTATAAACAATTCTTGGTGTCAAATTCCCTGTTTGAAATAACCTGACTAGTTTATTTCCTTGACTGCCCTTTTATTGATCCAGGAATGAATTCCGTTTTGTGTGTATCTGCGTATGTTGCTTATAACAGGGAGACTCAGAAATGAGGCAGATGTAAATGTTTTAGCAAATAATGCCCTGGCACCAAGCAATAGATTGAAGGGTACTGATACTTTTCATAAATGTTCTATTTTGTTAATAAGGAGAAATCAATATTTTTAAAAAGAATCTAAATATCCAATGAAAGATGTAATAAGTGATGAACTATATATAGAATGCTGTGCTGACTATACTTTACACATTTTACCTAACTGTATCCTTAAAGTACAACCCTGTATATTTTCATTTACTCCTTAAAACACAGCCTCTACAGGAAGATGATAATGTAATCCCTACTTCACAGATAAGGTAACAGAGTAGAGAGATTAAGTAATTTTCACAGGCCACTCTCAGTCTGGATTAGAACTCAGGAACTTGGACTCTAAAATCCCCACTATTACACTATATTTATAGTTATATAGTTTGTAGATAAACTAGTTTGTATTCTAGATGTAGTTACCAACATAGGTTTTTAAAGATTTGTCTTTTGTTTTTTTTAATTATACTTTAAATTCTGGGGTACATATGCAGAACATGCAGGTTTATCATATATGTATACACCTGCCATGGTGGTTTGCTGCATCCATCCCCCCCGTCACCTACATTAGGTATTTCTCCTAATGTTATCCCTCCCCAATCCCGCCACCACCTGCTATCCCCTCCCTTAGCTCCCCTGCTCCCTAACAGGCCCTAGCATTTGATGTTCACCTCCCTGTGTCCATGTGTTCTCATTGTTCAACACCCTCTTATGAGTGAGAACATGTGGTGTTTGGTTTTCTGTTCTTGTGCCAGTTTGCGAAGAATGATGGTTTCTAACTTCATCCATGTCCCCAAAAAGGACATGACTCATCATTTTTTATGGCTGCATAGTATTTCATGGTGTATATGTGCCACATTTTCTTTATCCACTCTATGATTGACGGACATTTGGGTTGGTTCCAAGTCTTTGCTATTGTAAACAGTGCCGCAATGAACATACATGTGCATGTGACTTTATACTAGAATGATTTATAATCCTTTGGGTATATACCCAGTAATGGGGTTGCTGGGTCAAACGGTATTTCTGTTACTAGATCCTTGAGAAATCACCACACTGTTTTCCACAATGGTTGAA